GGGGGGGTTTGGGGGCTTGTGCAGAGCCCCCCATGTGGTGTGGGGCAGTGGAGGGCAACAGGGATCACCCACCACCTGGCCACACCCACTGACCCGGGGCTTTTTTTTTTTTTTAACAAGTGCTGGGAGCTAGGGCAGCCATTGCCAGGCTGGGAAAGGGGCAGGGGATGGGCCTGGCCTGGCTGGCTGATTCAGAGATTTGGCAGCAGCTGAATCTCTGAATAAGATTTGGCCAAATCAAATTGGGACAGTGATTTGAATCACCAAATCAAATCACTGTCCCCCCAAATCGGCTGCATCCAAATCCAAAGTGAATACTAGCTGCTTCACACAGGCCTACTGTGCATTTATGTGTTTGATATTATAGCAAATGAATTATTGCAAAAATTTTTAATATTTTAAGAACCTATAAATTTAGTCTGTTTTTTTCTTACAAATTACAAATACATGACAGTTAAATAGAAAATCAATTGCACTTTATATATTGTGTATTATTCTGCACAGATAGAGAAAGTCTCTGCTTTTTATTAATATTCTTCACTTTTTTTCCCCCAGCAACAGCAACCTTCATTATCCTTGCCAATGCTATACAAAAAACCTTAACTATAATTTTCACTATCTGTTCTAAGACTTGCACATCCTTCCTGTGGTGGTCAGAGCAGCATCTATAACAAACAAAACAAGGTCACCGATTTCTGCTTTGTGAAATACTGATGGAGGCTCATTGCCAGGGCAGCTCAGTGACTGCATCCTCAATTGAGGTTGTGCAGTAACACTTCCATGGTTAATTAAATGGCTTCATTTTCTAAAAATGTCATTCTGTCTCCATTAGCCAAGCACTGAGATATACTCATTTTAACAAGAGAAAATGGAAAGGAGAAAGAGTAGTGAAGACAGACAGCAGGATCCCTAATAATCATCAGACTGCTGGAAAGGATTCTGGAAATCTTCATCTTCTTGTTAAGCAAATAAAAAAAAAAATGACTTGATTTTGCAAATGTGCATGCATGTATTTAACAATATTTTTCTGTTGATGTCAATGGGCTTAAGGATAAGCACAAAAATAAGTGCCGGCAGGATCATGTCCTTAGTTGTTGTTTAATGAATAGGAAACACCCTGCCTGGTTGCTCTGTGTGATCTACACAGTGAGAGATTTGCTGTATTTGACCTATGTTTAGACTGAGAACAGAACATGCTTTTGTATGTCAGTAATTATGATCATCCATTAAAATACCCTCAAAAATCTCTTCTTTAATGTTACTGTTATCCAGCAAGTGGTTATTTGTTTAGTCTGGATCAGTGCTGAGGAATCAGTGCACGGAGTAGAACAGAACAAATCACTCATAGCAAAATAATTGTTTGATAAATTTAGCATCTTTTTCTGTTCTGGAAGGACCCAAGCTTGCAAATACTTCAAGCAAGCACATAATTTTGCTTTCCTGAGTAGTCCTATAGCAGTAAATTTATCACTTTATTTGTTATTGAAAATTATTTACTAATCTAATCATTTTATTATCTCTGAAAATAAATGAATTACCTGCTTTGAAATCAGAGGAGCTTCTGGGTGCTCAGCTACTTACTGAAGTACCTAATTAAGGATTTGGCAGCCTGACTTGAGGCCTCCATTTCTTAAAAAAAAAAACAAAAAACAAAAAAAACACAAAACCAAACACACCCGCTTGGCCAACAAAGTCAGATGAGGTCACGTAGTTATAAAAGGTTAAATGCTGTGCAGAATAATACTTGCTGAAGATTTATTTTATTTTTTAAACTATACTTACTCTTGTGATACTGTATTGGCACAAACTAGCAGCAGCATCTAGGGGGATGAACAATACATTGGCAGTTCTCTTGTTTAGTTAGTAACTGGTGGATCAACCACTGGTTTCTCCTCTCAGTACTTGCAGGGTATGTCTACAAAGATGTTTACTGAGGAGCTACCTAATTAGCTCCACAGTAAAGTTCCTGCTTCTACACGTGTGGGCCCTATTAGGCTGCAGTACTAAATACAACTACTATCCTGCAGTGGCATCATTTACTGTGCAGCAACGCACATGTAGACACTGATGCTGCCAACTAGCCCTGCACTGAAGCACCCTTGTGCCCCAGCCACCCCCTCTGCAGCACACTGAACTGGGTCAGAGCAGACCCAGGGTGGCAGGCTGACCCACACAGATCCCTTGCCAGCCAGGGCTGCTCTGACCCAGCTCAATATGCTAGGGTCCTGGGTGCACATGTAAACTCTGGTGAGATATGTACCAGAGTTTATTGCTTAGCATTAATTGCACATGGAGATGCACCCACAGTTTCTTAACTTTCCTATGTGAAAAGTTGATGAGGAGAATGCAGGAGTAAGGTGGCTACTGACTTGAGCAGGGAATAAATCCCGGTTGCTTGTTTCCCCTGAGCAGGAACTAAAATCAGGGCTGACTGGTACCTTGTGTCACCATTGTGAGCATGGCACACAATTCCTTGTTTATTTTGACTGCTGTCAGTGGCCCCTGTTTGGTTTTCATGGCCTACCTCAGCCAATGATCATTTGCCTTCTGTGCTTCACAAGGTCATATAGGATGGAGCTCACTGGTGGCTATGACCTATAGCTGATACTGTGGCTGCAGTTCATTTTTATTTTCATATGCCATTAATTGAGAAAAGGGAGTATGCACATAGTAATATAGTTAGTAGACTGAGAGTGCAGAATAGCCTGTAAACCAGCAGTGGGCAAAATGGCAGATGTGGCCAGCAGCCAGACTCCACTTCCCAGCAGCCTCTGCCTGCATGGCTGGGGCTGGTCTCCATGCATAGTGCAAGGCTGGGGTTGCTGTGGAAACTGGCCCCAACCATGCTGGCAGGGTGCATGGCAGGGCAGGGCAGGGGCTGCTCTGGAGTCACTGGGATCTTGCAGCGGGGCAGCTTGGACCAGGGCAGAGCTGTGATCTGCTGCCTGCATGTCCCTGCCCAGAATGTACAGGCTGCAGATCGCAGCTCTGCCCTGGCTTCTTGAAGCGGTGACAGCATCCCTGCCTGGAGCATGCAGCCAGTGGATCATAGCTCTGCCCTGGCCCAAGTTGCCCCCACCACAACACCCCAGCAGCTCTGGATTAGTCCTCTGCCATGCCAGCACAGTTGGGGCTGGTCTCCATGGCAACCCTAGCCTTGCACTATCACAGCGCAGCTGTGGCTGGGGTCTCCATGGAGACCGCCCCAGCCATGCGGGCAGAAGCTGCTGGGAAATGGAGTCCGCTACTGGCCAGATCCAGCCCACAGGTCAGACTTTGCCCGCCCCTGCTGTAAACTGACATAGGAATTCCACTTGCGAGGATCTTATTTCTTAAATAACTTGCATGCAGACTATCTTACTAACATAGTATGAATACATACCATAAATACTCAATGGCATCAGCAGAAATAATCTGAATCTGCATAATGGAGGGGAAAAAAATGAAGTTTTCTATCATTGTGTCCTTAGAGATCTTGGTTGGTTGGTTGGTTGTGTTTTGTGGATATAGACTGGTTACAGAGTTGAACTTGTTAGGGAAAGGCCCAAACTAAAACTCCAGGTTAGACACTCCTGGATTCAGGTTAAGATCTGCCTTCACTGTTGGTACTTCCTTCCAAAACCCCAAGATCTGAATGCTTGCAACTTGGCAGTTCAAATATTGCTCCAAATTTGAATTAGTCCAAAATTAGAGGTGTTTAAATTTATTTCAAATTCAGGGTTCAAGTTCAAGTCTCAAACTTAACTTAAACCCAAGTACACACAACTCTATGGCAGGTCAGATTTGGAACAAATTTGGATTCACTGACTTGAGAGCGCTAAAATCTGGGGGTTTTGGTTTTGTCCATTTTGAGATTCAAAACTTTAATCTGGAGACAGCTTTTGTAGATAGGGTTTTGATTTGAACCCATTTCTACATTAAATATTTTATCATGTTTTAAAGCATATAAGTACCCAAGAAAGAAAAACATAGTAAATACCAGTAAAATACTGTGATTCTATAGTACTATCTAAAGATAAATTTGCACCTACAATAACCAATGGAAGCATACCATTTGATTGCTAGGGGTGCATATAATATAGTTATGTGAACATTATCAACATCAACACAAAAGATAAAAGGAAATAAGAAAATAATTTGAACCTGATGCATATTTTCATAGACTACTATGGATGTAGTTACGATGCAGTATCATGAATACTGTCATACAAGACATCACGTAAGGAGAAAGGGAAGCTTCAATATTAAAGTAGAGTTTAATATGATGCTAAAGATCTGGTACCCTTTTATTTCATCTAAAAGTTATGGAGATAACCATAAAAGCTAATTTTTGAATGCATATTTAACAGACTATACTTTTCATGTATGTACTTTTTAAACCCAGGGAAACAGGATTTTTGCCAATTGCTTTCGGTGGGACTAGGACTGGACCCTATATATAGTAGTACAGAAACAAAATGTCTAAAACTGGTTTATTTCCACAAATGGAAATCACTAATTTGACTAAGTAAGCATTTCCTTATATGCAATTATGTACCATTATTAAAAAAATACTGAAAACGTAGCACATTTTGTATATCCATTTGTAACTCTAATATTATAAAAGAGATTAAGTTGATGGAACAAGATTAATTGAAATATTTCACTCTAAGTATCTGTAATTGTATAATGTACAGAGCATGCTACAGATTTGTAACTATATTCAGAAACCAAGGATTTAAAGTCTCTTTTTTTAATGAAGTTTCTCTTGTTTTTCCATAAGACATTTTTCCCAGAGTTGAATATATCCGGCTCTCATTCTGATGTCTTATTCTTTTTTTAGCTTCCTGAAATGACTCACATTCAGACACGGCGCCCCTGGTTGATGTTTCTCCTACAGAACCTTGGATTACTATTAGGTTGGCTTTGCCTTTTTCTTTTAGCTATATATGAAAAGAAAATTAAAATATGAAGATTATACTGGAAACCTCCCCAATTATGAATTTGGATATCGTTATTTCACTTTTGCATGTGCATTATAGTGATTTCTAAATTAAGTTGTTGAGATTTTGTATCTGAAGTAAACTAGGTAACTTTTATTTTATTAACTTATTCAGAATTTGCAATGGGTTTTTTGTAAAGAAGAATGTTTAGATTTATGCTTTATTTATTACTGAGTTTATCAAATCTCATGTTCATACTCACAGCAGTGTCTGGTTAGTTTTTATTGTGTCTGTTCTAGCTAAACAGTCTTAGTGATCTCTGCTACTCTGATTGAAGAAAAGAATAAAAATATATATAACATAACTAAACTCAAACGCACCACCGCTGAATAATCTAGGCATAAAATCATATTACTACTTAATGCCAAACATAAGTTTATTTCTATGAAACTGGAAAAATAGTAAAAATAAATTATTGAGTTAAATGCGACAAACTCATTTTAATATACTATGCATTATCTATTGTTGACAAAGTAATGAAGTATTGTTGTTGTGTCCTGCCCACCCACTGCAGTAATGGAAATAATGGTGAACATAAGGCTGTGGCAATTTACTACGCAGTTTAACAATATCAGAACACCCGTTCCAAATGAGCCGTTCATGTCTACACTTCTGTAACAGAGAGCTGGAGGATCTTGTTACTTTAAGAAGAAAAACTGAAGCTAGAGAGGCCAGGCAGTGTCAAAACCCTGCTGCCCACGCAGTGGAGAGGCCCAGTGGGGTAAAGCGTTGCACTTGCTGCTGGTCAGGAGATAGCCTAGAGTGAGCTGGCTGCAAGGGAATAGGCAGCTGGAGACCTGAGGCTATGATAGCTTACTGCAGGTTTGGCAGCCCACAGCACGCAAGAGGAACTAAACTTGAGTCCGACAGGGCAAGGCTAGAGCTGGAACCCAGAAGCTGGGTCTAGCGCAGTGGAAACTGAGCTAAGTGGCCCAGCAAGAGAAAAAAGGGCAGAGGCCAAGTAAACCAAGACCCTTATGAGAGACTGATCAAACTGACTGGACAGACAATATAGGAGAGGCATGGGTGTGGTGTGAAGGGGAGGCTGGAAACATGTTATTAGCCCGTAAGGCAATAACTGTGGATATCCGTTGTTATATGTGGGAAGCCCTGAGGCAGCTTCCCTTTTTCTGAAAGATTAACATCCAGGTGGGGTGGGCAAGTGAAGGGGAGAGTGACCAAGGGAATTAGACCAGTCAAGGGTTGATCAGCCAACAGGGGGCATTGCAGCTGCCCTGGGATGAGTGCCTTGTTACAGCTACTCATTAAACCTAGGGAAATAGGATTTTTGCCAATTGCTTTCAGTGGGAGAAAGGTTGGATCCTATATATTAGTACAGAAACAAAATGACTAAAACTGGTTTATTCCCACAAATAAGAATCACTAATTTGACTATGTAAGTATTTCCTTATATGCAATTATATACGATTATTAAAATATTGACATTGTAACACATTTTGGATAATGATTTGCAACTTTACGATGATGGAACGTTTTTGTACTTCCAGCTATGGCAGTTGCTCAAATAATTAGAAATGTCATCCTGTTAGGTATTGATTTATTCCTACAAGTATAACATGCTTTTATGAGAGAGCTGTTTGGGTAACCTAAATAGCAACCTGTGGGTATGGTCTTCTCCTAAAGCCTGATCCTACAAACCATATTTTTGAGTAATTAACCCTATTAACATTACTGGGATTATTTCTATTGGTAAAAGTCCACTGATTTAACTAAGGAGTCCAAAGACAGGCTCTAAACAAGTTTGCCAGTAATAGCCCAACTCTAGGTACTGACTGATTTTGGCAAGGCATTGAGCATTAACTTTTATTGTATGACTGCATAATAGCTTTGTTGTTTCTTAGACTGACATTTATTTCATATCAGGAATTTTCTTTCTTCTCCCCTTTCCCCCCCACTTAATTTATTTTCTGCAAATGAAGTCAAGGATTTGTTCCTTGAATGGAGGAATAGTTATTTTTCCCTGGGGAAGAGTCAAGCAAGGGAAAGCCATGTTACAAAACAAAAACATGTTCTTTATACAACCAAAAACACATTGTTTCTTCTGTCTTAGGGGCCGGTACACAACAAGATCACTGTGGATTAATTTACCTGGAGTTTTACTCTGAAGTAAATTTACTCCATGTAAGCAGCCAAACTAGCTGCTCTTTTACAGCTGCTGGTAGCAGTGTCTATCAGTCAAACAAAGGGCTACCCTGCGATGACTGACTAGGGGAATGGGCACATGACCAATCCAGCAATGTAACTCTCACCAGTGTACAGTTATTCCTCACTTTGAGGGGTAGCTTTACCCCAGAGTGGAATGTCTTACATACAGTGTCAATCTACTTTTACCTTGGAGTAAAGCTAATTTACTATTTTGTTGCCATTACTATCTGAGCATCATACAAAGTGAAATGTAATTTATTCAGCCAACATTCACTATCAGCCCCGTTTTACAGAGAGAGAACTCAAGGACAGAGGGACTGAGAGAGATTTTTATAAGTATATAGGAATTGTATAATTAGCAGCTGTATAAGTGTTAGATATCCTAAGGAAAGTCCACTAAGGCTTTAAAACACCTTTAAAAGCCTGACTCTAAACAATTTTTTAAAGGTCACTCGAAATCTGTG